GGGATATGGTCTGGATGTGGCTCCAGAAGAGCCCATTACCCCACTCGTGCTGCCCCAAGGGCCCCGGGGAGACTGATGGCACCAGCGTGTGCTCCCACTGTCTGGGGCTGGTATGAAACCTGCAGCTGGGCGAGTCCAGGCTCTACAAGTGGTGGCTGCTCTCCGCTCTGCAGCCCTTGGGTGCCCTCCTGAGAGGATGGAGAAGCTCAGGCAAGAAAGGGGGCAAGAAACGCAAGTCTGAGTAACTGAGAAACTGATGTTACTTGTGCCTGGCAGCAAATGGGCACCGAGGGACAGGATCCACTGCGGCCATGCCCAGCTCTGCCTCAGCCCATGCCCAGGCAGGAGCGGCTCAACACAAGGAGAGTGCAGCAGGGCCTGACCCTGCGGCCACCTCCCAGCACTGCTGGTGTCAGGGTGAGGGCTCAGCACCAGGGTTTACTGAGCTTGGTGTCAAAGGCCAGCCAGAAGGGTATAACCCCAAGGACACAACACTGAGGTGCTCTGTAACGCTGCTGTGCTGGAGGAAGGCAATGCCTTGCCCCGGCCCCCTCCCTGCAAGGGCTCCTCTTCCAATCAAACCGAAAACCATTGCAGGTGAAATGTCTGTTGCACCAACAGCCAGGATTTGTGACAGTTTTACACATGCACCAGAACTCACAGAACCTGTTTGGCAAAGGCACTGACAGTCACAGGTGCTTTAATGGCCTTTACATTGCAAACATGAGTCTTTCAATCTTGCCTTTAAGAGTAATACTGTAAAATAGGGACCAGCAAGGTGGACAAAGAGCTGGCAGCCAGGACTCCAGCGCTGCTCCGGCCACCTTGCTCCTGGGTGGCCCTTTGGTTGCTACTAAACCATCTAAAGGTGTCGGGAGATGCTATGCTCTGATCTTGTATGGATCTAGACACCTGGTGCTCATAAACCTGTGTCCTCCATCCACAGCAGGTCCTGTGAGCCCTGTGTCTGAGTTACACGTGGTGTGTGGGGTCAGGTCTCCCCATGCCCTGGCAGGGCTGCTCTGCTCATTTCTGGGCCTCGGTTTTTCCTGTGGAGGAGGCAGCTGGGCTGTTCAGTCACATCTGGGTTTTGCCATCTCTAGTGAGGACAAGAGCTTTGGAACAATTCTTATCTTTATCTGTCCGTCACCCTATGCCTCGGACAAACACGCGAGTCCTGCTTGGGAGACCCATTGTGAACCCCAAGGTTGTCCTGCCCAGGAGGAGGAGGATCTTTACAAGGTGGGGTAGCTGGAGCAGAGGGACTCAAGCAGAGCTTCTGCCTGTCAGGAGGAGAACTGATTTGAGGAGCTTGTCCCACGCTTGATGGGGTTTTATGTCTGGAAATCAAAGCTGTGGCTTCTGTTAAGTCCCTGGGGAGGTGGAAGCTCAATCCTAAGCCGGAATCTTTGGGAAATGATCTGGGGAAAAAGGGTCCAGTTGCGATGCCACAGACACCCCGCTTGTTCATTGCCAAATAAAGGCTTGCCATGGTCCAGCCTCTGCAGAGACCCGGCTGCTCTGCTGCTCCAGAGCAAGATAGCGCTGAAACCCAAACAGCGATGCCAAGTGACTCCAGTTCCTCCCATTCTCTCCCAGTGCGTGGAGCAGGAGAGGAGCAGGCTCCAACCCCAGCAGCTGGGTGTGGAGTGTGTTTGTGTTCTCTGATAACACAGATTGGCGATCTTCTCTCCTCACATTTAATTTGCCCTTTCCTCTAGCCCTCTGTCCTTACCCAATGCCACTTGGCATCGCCTCCCTCCCAGCCTACAGCTTCCCGCTGTTTTGACAAAACCCTGTTATAAGATACAGCTGCTGAGAGATGTAGTAAAGATACAGCTCTTGGGTAAGGAGAGCCGTGGGCTTTCTCATGTTCTCATTCTTTTCCATGGTCAGGAATTTATTGTTGATCTTAATCTCAGGCCAGGCAACGTCACTGCACGGTGACAGTAAATTTACTTGCACAATTTGCTGATAGGCAGATTTGTTTGTCTTCTCATGAGGATGCTGAAGGGGGGAGGGCTTGGGAGAAGGGAGTTTCTTTTCATGCCTTTTAATCTCTGAAACAAGCAGGAGGATGGAGGACGGGGGAATGGCAGTTCTGGCTTGAAGGGAGTACTTGAGCCTCTTTCCAGCTCTAATTCCCAGCCTTAGCAGGGGCTGAGGCAATGCCTGTGCTTCCCCCATCAGGTTCCTTGAGATGCTGTGCAGCCATGAGCTGCCCTCACCGTTCCTGCCCACTGGTTCCCAGGTTGGACTCTTTATGCCCAATGTGTTCCTGCAGGTGAGCTTAGGCACTGGCAATGAAAAAGAAACGTGGCCAAATGCTTAAAGCTCCTGCTTGGGATGTGATATATCTTTTTCCAGGTCATGTGTGCTTTGGCTTCTTGATCTGCGTAGTGGGGATAAGAAATTGCCCCTACATCATAAGGGTGGTGCAGTGTTTAATTACTGTTTGTAAATGTCTGAGAGATCATCTGATAAAGGTACCTCTGATACAGTGCTCCAGGGTGTCACCAACCCACACTCCCCTCCGAGGCAGTGTACTGTAAGGCTTCCACCTCTGAGCCTGTCCCTGTAAACCTGCAGCAATAACCGGCCCCGCTGGGCCAGGGGATGCAGTGGGACACTGCAGGAGTGCTCTGGTCTCTGACACATTGCCCTGTGTCCCATGAAAGCACCATCTCATCCAGGCTGGACTGACCTGGAAGGAGTTTCCTTTGCTCCCTTGGTCGGTTTATGTGGCTGATGGGCTGCAGTAAATCCATACATCTTTGTCAGGCGGGAGGTCTTTGGCTTGAAGCAAGATGTTACACCTCTGGGAGACACCTGGATGAGGGCATGGTTGTAGTGACCTACAAGACAAACAGGGAAAGGATGTAAATATCAAACAGGGCTGCAACAGTGGCACTGAGGAAGGAGAGCGCATCAGTCAGTGAATGTAACAGAAGGAAAAAGAACCGGTATAACAGGACTGCATGGGGAAATCACTTCTGGATTTAAAAAGTGCTGTCCTGGGCAGAGCTTATTTCGAGGGACACTGATAAGGTGACACTAAACTTAGTCCTGATCATAGGAACATACAGAGATATTGGCCATTTTAAAGAACATACAGGAGGAGAACTCACACATGGTCTAACGTGTAAGATAACTACATGGCTACGTGCCCTCCCACTCCAGGTCTGAAACCTTGCCATGCAATGGGCCAGGAGCACACTACAGGACTGTGGATCCCGGTACATTATGCACTAATGTGGCTTCTCCTGAAGCCTCTGGCATCTACAGTTTATTGTGGAGTGTTCTAGTGATTCCTTATGGCTACCCTAAACTGTCAGGACTGTTTCTGGATGGTTTCTCAGCAGAGGCTCAAAAGGACCTACCCAGAGCTCTTGGAAGGGGGACTCAGCAGTGTCCTGATACCAGCTTAAATCAAATGTGCCTTAAGAAGCTCTGAGTGACCTGAACTTGTGTAAGAAGGTGCTCTGCACCCCAGAGTATCTGAACCAAACTCACCAGCAGCATCTTTCTTCGCAGCCCAGGGCTCAATGGAGAAGGCCATTGTCCAACTTTTCCCCATTTAATCCTCCTGTGGGGTTGGACACAAGCACTGTCTGGCCAGAAATGGTGTTGCTTTGCTTGCAGAAATCCAGAGGTCTGTTTCAGGAAAAGAAAAAGAGCTTGTGAATGCCTTTGAATGGGCTTTACCTGTGGGTAATTACCAACAAAGCAAAACCCACATTTAAAATCCAGTTGTCTCCATCGTGAGTGATTGTAATGACACAGCTGGAGGCAGCAGTAGGGCCAAACTCTTGGGAGTGCTTCCCAAGTGTAGGCAAGGCTCTTTGTGACTGCCCAGCATGCAGAGGTTGCATTTACACAGACGCTGAGGACTTGAATTCTTGCAGAGAATGTGGCTTTGGGTGTTCAGCTGCTGTCTCAGGCTCCTCTGATGTCAGCTCTAAGTGACCTGTTTTGCTCAGGACACCAACTGAGCACTGAAGTCAAGGTGGTGCTGCCAAGACCCCAGGGGGCACCCATGGAAGTGCTACAGAGGCAGGGAGGTGTGTGTGGCTGCAGGGTGGGCTTTGAGCTAAGGATGACTTGAGGAATCTGTACTTGGGGTTGTTCAAGCCTGCAGGTAACTGCTGGGGGCTCTGTGCCCTCCTGCAGCTCGCAGCAAGCTCGGGGTTCAGCTCTGTCCTTACGCTGCTCGCAGTCCCCGAGCTCCTTACAACCTGGACAGAGATGCCAGAGGTCCCTGGGGGTGCAGATCACGCTCTCCTGGAGCTGCCTCCTGCACTCTCAGCCCTGGTGCTGGCTGCAGCTTGTCTACAACCTATGCACAGAAACACGCTTCATCCACAGCTCCTGGGGAGCATCACGCTCCTCAGAGAACTGCTGTCCTTAGAGGCAAAAACCTCTGGTGCCAAGGTTATATGAGCTACCCAAAATCACAGCATGGGTCACAGGACAAAGGGAAAGGCTTGTCAGATTCCCAGGATGAAGCCTTACCTCTTGGAATGTGCTCTGAGGTATAAAACACTTATTGCTGGCTGAAAAGGACCTTTTCTAATCAAGCTGTAGCGAGAGAAAACCTCTACTGGTCAAGGCTAACTCAGTGATGTAAGTGGAGGAGTCCAGTTCAAGCACAAGAGTGGGAAGGCAGCAAGAAGACACCGGCATGAAAGATTCAACACAAAAAAAGACTGATCTTTTCCTATTTCTTTCTTATGTTTCCTCCATAAGCAGGTGCAGTGCCTACAGAAGTCATGATGTTTAGCTAGCTTTATTTTAATATAGGGTTTGGTCCCAGGGCTGAAGATGGCTTTGACAGCTCGGGGAACTCTGTTCCTGGCTTTCACTCATTTTTTCCTCCACTATTTGTCCATTTTCAGCTGTCACTGCCTCAAGAGCAGGTCCTCCAGTTACTGGACAAAAGTTCCTTTTTGCCTGAGAGCAGTGACCATGTAAAGACTGCAGGATCTGTCCACCTTTTTCTCCTCAGATGTTTCTCTGTCTATAGTCATAAATTATCAGACACTGACATCTTTCAAATAGATAGTTTCCTGTTCTGCTTCTTGTAGGTTAGATATTATCTCCTACAGTAAATCATGAGTCAGTGATTAATTCAAGAAGGCCGTTCCCAGAAGCAAATTCTTACAATGTTAAAATTAATATGATGCGAAGCCATTATAATATGATATAGAAAATAATTATGGCCTGCAAACCAGTTTAATCAACCGGGAACGTGCTGGCGCAGGTACTCGGTCAGAGTGAGTCAGCCTCAGAAAGTTCAGCCTTAGCATATGGCTTGTGTGAGCACACAGGATTACCCCATGTCAGCTGAGGCTGGTAACTCTGTACGTGTGCTCTTTGCACACCCAGCTTGTGAGGTAAGACATGTTTGTCTAAAACACCTTTGCTGATGTTTAAACTAGATCAAATTACTATAAAAGCCTGAATTGCTTCAAGAACATGCATGCAGCCAGTTAAGATGTCTCAGCTGATGAGTGGCAGCTTATTAAGTTTATTAAATTGTGTTGTCTTCATTGTGTCTTAAACAGGGCTGCAAAGTCATCAAATACTCTAAAGAGTCAACGTGCTGTGCCTCACCACACGGTGGATGTGTCCATCCTGCCCTCAAGGCAGTTTAGAAGGGGACAGCTCACTAGGAGATGGGTGCAATGCAGACATGCTGTGCAGAAAAAGACAAACGCTCTCTCTAAAGAAGAACAAAACAATCCAAAGGTAATCACAGCTACAGCAAGACGCCATTGAAGGGACAGAGAAGTCCATTAGCAGTGCATATATTATTATAAACTATCTGATAATTGTTAATAACACTTTGGGGTTTAACATCTTCCATATCTCAAAACATTGTGAATTCCTGTGGACTAAAGCTTACAACACCCAGAGAAGCTCGGTCATGGTGGCATGGGTGGGGAGCAGCAGGCACAGAACAGTTAAGTGACTTACACAAGGGTGAATCAGCAGTTGGTTCAGGAACTGAAGCGGAAGGTGAGGGCCCCAGCTGATACAAACTGGCACAGATCCACGGTGAGTGGAAGGGCACAGTCCATTACATCACTTGCACGTACCCAGACCTGATTCCCAGCTCTGAGGTTGAACCTCAAAAGCCAGTACCTCTTCAAGATGTAATGTTCACCTGCCTTGAGCTTCTTGGCAGAAGTTTCCTGTAACCAACCAACACAGGCTGGGTTTTGGGGATGAAAACTCCTGGGATGCTCTGGGGTCTTTCAGTACCAAAGCCAGTGATGTTGCTGCTGTCCCAGGGTCAGGGATCTGTTCTTCCTCCCTTGGTACTGAGGAGTTCCTGCCTGGTGTGTGCTCAAGATTTGCTTGAAAAGGTTAATGCAGAATTAAAAAGGGGCACCTCTGGGTATGAGCAAAGGAAATTCAGCCCCAGTAGAAATGTAAAAGATAAAGCATATGAGAAAGCAGCTTAGCTGTGGGACTTCCACCTTACCTGTAACTGACAATGAGGAATCTTGTTCCTTCTTGGCTGGATTTGAGAAACAGTACAACACTAAACATGCATTGCAGACACAGTCAAGCGTCAGTTAAAGATCAGGTCCACTGAAGTCAACACAAAGGCACAAGGTGAGTTTAGCAGCTTTGGAATTCAGTGTGAAATAAAATGTTTCCTCTTACCAGCGAAGGGAAGTATCCAGTTCCTTCCCTGGACAATGAGGTGCTGTCGATCTCTGCAGACTGATGAGGGACACCATTGCATCCTGGACATGGGGTTTCATTCTAGCAAGAGAACTACCCCACTTTGCTGCCCAAGCTGCACCAGTGACCTCTCGCTGTGATAACTCATTGGGTTTAAGCTGTGTATCTGTTGCTCCAAACAGCTTTCATGGGAAACTGCCACCCCAGGTTACAAATGGGCATGAACATTATTTGTAGTTTGTACCGTTCCTTCCTTCTTTCAAGCTGAAATTTATTGGGTTTTAAGGTTTTTCTGATATCCTCCTGTTCTGTGTGATACAGAAAAAGCTCACAATTTCATTTTTTCTTAGTTATCTCACATGCATTTCCAGCCATCTCATTTTTCTTCCCTCTAAATTAAACATCTGTAGTGTTTTCAGTCTTTACCAGGACTCTAACGGTCATCTCTTATTTATAAATGATCTGTGCTGTAGTTCTTTCTTAGAATTAGGGTGGCCAGGACTAAAGGTGACATTCCAGCTGAAGAGGCACCAGCAGCAGAAATGATGGGATATTTCCTGTATCATTCTCTAAGTCATTGCTTGCACCCCCAAATTTTATGCTTTGATTGTGATTGTGCATTGAAGTAGATGCCTTCATTGTTTCAAATTCTAATCTTTTCATGCTTTTCCTGATGCATGGAAAACTACATGAAAAATCATGGAAAACTGAATATTGCTGAGTATGAGGAAGGTAAAATTTCTCTGCTGCCTTCGCAGCAAGTTTTATATACTGGGAGCCATGGCAAATCCAAAATCTCACCCTTAACATCTGAGTTGGACCCAGTCAATTCAGCCTGCGGGCAGAATGCAGATCTGCAGTCACCACACCTTCCCCAGCTGTGCTCCCAGAAATGGGCTTTTCAAAAAAGAGGCCTAGGCAGGGCTCTATTTATAGAGCCAAAGAAACCAAACCCTGCCTGTGTCATGCATGATACCCCCAGCTTCTCAGATGTGGTCCCATGAAGTGCTGAGTGCCCTCAGCAGCATGCCAATCCCAGGAAAGAAAAGAACAGTGGGACATGGAAGGTCTGGAACACCATACAAGATGAAAGAAATAGCTTTGTACTAACACAAATGGGAAATTATTCCAGTATGTAGGATGGAAAGAGCTGAAGTTCCTGATCTTTACGAGCATTCTGTCATTATGTGTACTTTGTTAATTGTCTTGTCTGACAGTTACCAATGGAAAATATTCTGGAAGTGCCTGGAAGCACCTTAGTTTGTATTCTGATGACTTCAGAGTTGGGTTCTGAGAGTGTCCCCCCAGAAACAGCATGTGCATAACAGTGAGGGAAAGAGAACAGGATAGATGGGATTGAACAAGGCAATGCAGTCAAGAGGAGAAAAGAAAGTAGTTTGGGCATTAAATCACTCATGCAAAGCACAAGGATGAATGGATTTGTAGAAGTTTCTGCAGGATCAAGGAGCAGGGAGGATGCGAGGTTAAAAGTGGGGAAATAGAAGCCTGTGTAGGATGAGTTGATTAAAAACCACCATCCAGAAGGACCCATGCTGCTGGTGTACAGCAGCAGCAACCCAAGTGACCTGCTGCCCCTTAAGAAAGGACCAGAAACGACTGGGAGATGAATGGAGGCCCTTGCTCTGCTTGGTCTTGCAAAAGAGCAGACTAAGGAGAAGACTGGATGGGATGGGCAGACAGTGCTGTCTGCTGGAGAACCTGCTGTTGATTTACAGTGAGATCATGGGCAAATCACTCCACCAGTCTGGTTTTCTACTGCAGCTGAGCTGTTTCTTGCTACGTGCATGGACAAGTGTAATAGTGCTACTACAGTGCTAAAAGTAATAAAACTCAAATGTGTTCCACTTCCATTAAAACTGGGAATTGGATCCCAGGTCTCCAGTTTTTGTTATCTGTACCCTTAATACTTGCAGATTTGGCCTTTGCCATAAAAATGCCACCTGACTTATAAAGCGAATGGTCACAAATAATCTTTTCCACATGTTTTTCTTTGTAGGAAAATGCTTCAGGACAAATCAAGATTTGAGGTATGTGATCCAACTCTGAGAATATCAGCAGAGCTGCTCTGACTTACACTGTGTTTCACTTGAGCCCCTGTGTGATACTCCCAGGATGCCAAACTTGGAGGAGGAGATTTCTCAAGATGGGATATGAGGGCTTGTCCACATGCAGCAGGCAGGGATCTCGAGCTAGCTGGTTTTTATCAAGCCCCAGAACTCAAAACAGAACAGCCACTGCACTGCCTTGGCTTGCATCTCCACGTGGCCTTGCCATGTGGAGGCCCTGCCATGTGGAAGCCCTGCCACGTGCTTGAGGTTCTCCACCCTGCTCTCCATGGACAAGAGGGTTGTGCTGAGGAAAGCAAGATTGCTCCAATTTGCTAGAACTGGCTATTAAAATTGCAGCAGGTTTCCAAAGCAGCTGATAAAAAACTGCATCTGCAAGCTGCATTCTCTGGTGTTGCCCAGGCTTGGCTGCTCCTGCTGACCAGCCTGCTGTGGCTTGGATGGAGTCCCATGCTCAGCCCTGCCCCATCCAGGGGAGTTACTACTCCAGCAGCACGTTCCTGATTAGCGCCTTCCAGGATAAGCACGTGTCAGGGAAGAAACAGCTACAGAGCCCTTCTCCCATCCAGTGCATCCAGCTCTGGGTTTGGCATGCCCATCATCACCTCGGTGTTGTTGAAAGTAATTGGAGATTAGACATCTACACACCCTTGGAAATGAACCTCCTGCTCCAGTGAGCACACACCTCTGTGCCCTGTGGATTGTGGGAGTGTGAGGGGGCTCCGTGCTGCAAGGTGAGTCCATCAGAACGACCTGGCAAACTCCAGCCCTCTGCTATACGTAGGGAGGTATGAGGACACAGGGAAACTGGCAGTTATAGAAGTGGGTCAACTCACCTGTGAGGTGTTCTAGGTCAGGTAATAAGAAGCAAATAAGCTCTTTACATGGCCTAAATTACAAGTGGGTAAACTTTACATACTGGCCATTTATCCCTGACTACCCAGCTAAAGGAATGTACTCCAAAATGGCTTGTGCTGAAGAGGACACAGTCAAGTGCTTTTGGTGGAGAAAATGAAGTCAGCAGCCCCGAAACAGGCTGGCCTTAATGGATCTAAAGCTTCCCCTCCCCTGCCTAGTGCAGTAACTTTTCTCTAGGGATAAAGCTTAAGAAAGAATCAGCCAAGCCCTTGTGTAGCTTGTGGTTTGGCTTCCTGCCTGCTCTGCCCTTCAAGCAGGAAATTCTCAAAGGGAAGGGAGTGCTTTGTGAAGCTCCCTTAAGACTCTGCCTCTTCTCTTTTAGTCAGAACTTAGCATCAGGTCATCTGGAGCTCCTGGAAGCTGACCAGACAGACTGATGGCGCCTACAGACGGTATTTAAGCAACTTCTCCACCTTGATCATTTTCCCCTCATCTTTTGTCCTTTGCGTCCTTGATTGCTATTATTCAATCTGAGATAATACATGCCTGATATCACTGAGATGGGAGAGACAAGCAAGGAGAAAGAGATCAAAGGAAGGAGAAGAAAAAGAAGATACCAAAGGCAGAAGAAGAAAGAGGGAAGATGCCAAATACTTCCTTGATTCACCTGCTTTACATACCCAGCACACAAAGTTTCAGAAATCCTCAATATACTTAATTTTCAGAGTTCTGGGGTTACCACATCGTCACCAGACAGCAGGAGACTGTCAGCAGGGGCCATGGGCATCCTCTTCCCACCGGCAGAGGAACCCGCTTGAAAGCCGGCTCCAGAAAGCCCAGGAGGCCCTTGGCACCTGGGAGCTTGGCTGCGCTTGAAAAGGAACCCGGGCAAACGGGATGGGTTTAAAATGTCTTTCTGCTTCCCTCTGCTGGCCAGATACCAGATGTACCGGTGTCATTCCTGCTCAGGGTGAGGGATAGCAGGAGACAGGAAGCCACAGGAGCCTTGTGCTCTCACTGCACGAGTGTTAACTTCTCCGGTTTACTTGGATTTCAGAAGAAACGCACCACGTACGTGTGTGTGTTCTGGAGAGCTCAACAACACTGGGAATGGGACTAGGGTGAAAGCTGGGTGGGAGATGGTAGGAGGTGGTTCAGGTGAGGGCATTATGTGAGTAATTTCAGGATTTAATGCAGTAATACTATTGCATTAGCACATTTCTCACCCTGTTGCAAAAACAACAACAAAAACAAACCAAAAACCAAAACCCAAAACAAACAAAGCAAAACCAACACCAAAACAAAGACGTAAACTGCAAACGGTTTTGTTACTCACTTATTCTGAAGGAGTTTATACTGAAATCTCCTTGATTGAGAGTGAAATCTTTTTTTTTTTCCACGAGTCTGGGATTACTTTCCTGTGGTGTTTATAAGGACTGGAAGAAATCTTGAAACCTAAAATCTGAATATGGAGATAGAGGAAAAGTAACTACAACCCCAGCTTTCGGTTTAAATGGCATATGTAAAGGCAAATCTAACATTAATGCAATGTTCAAGCCAAGAAATCAGTCGTCATTTCTGCATTTAATTGCCGTTTTATTTCAGAAGCAGAGGGAATAAAAGCACTGTGCAGCAGCACTGCTCATGAGGGGGCTTTAAGGGGGACTCAGTGCCGTTAAATCGCTTCTGCGGGCTGTCCTCATTTACCGACTCGGGCACCTCATCCGTTCCCTTCACGGGGCCACCCTCTCAGCTGAAGCGCTGAGGAGCGATGGGCGGACAGGGGCGGGAGGAGCCGCTCGGTGACAGGACGCGAGGAACGCCTCCGCCGCGGGGGTGCCCCCCATCCCGGCCCCACTGCCCACCGCTGCCTCCCCGTACGTGCCGGCTAGCTGCGGCCCTCAGCGGTACCGGCGGCTGAGGGAACGAGTGCCCCTGGTCGCCGAGACAACGGCCGACCCAGCTCTCCTCCAATCACTGGTCCCGTTACTTTGGGCCCTCCGGCAGGTATCCAATCACAGGTGAACTCTCAGCTGCGCGTGGTTGGGAGCGCGCAGCTGCGCATGCGTCTCAAGGTGGCTCTGGAGGCTGGGTGAGGCCTACCGGAGCCGCCACCGTCCCCGAGGCGGGCAGCTTGGAGCGGGGTGCTGCGGCTCTTCCCGGGGCCCCGGGCCGGGGCACGCCCTTCTCCTCTCCCCTCTCCTCTGGGCCGGGGCTCCGGGAAGCGGGGTCCCGCAGCAGGACTGTGTCTGTGTTTGTTTGTGTCGGTGCCGGCACCGTCCCGCCCCCCACGAGGGGCGGAACCCGGCACTTCCCGCCCGCCCTTCGGAGCCCTGCACCGCTGGAGGACTTAGCCCATAGGCTGGGCCAGGCCCCGCCCCCACCCGGCAGCCAATCACCGCCGGCAGCCCATGGAGTGACAGGGCTGGCGGCAAATCGGAGGGGCCGGGCGGGAACCTGTGGCGGCGCTGGGCCGGGAGCCGAGGTGGGTGCCGAAGGGCCGGGCCATGGGGGCAGAGCGACGGGGCTGGGGGCGCAGGTGAGTGTGGGGCTGGGGAGGTGGGCGCTGTACCCTCGGCGCTGCGAGCTCTCCGGGGTTCCTGAGCAGGAACAGGCCGCCGCTGGCGCCCGGCCGCGGGTATCGGCTGGGCAGAGCGGCCTGACCTGGGGGTGGGCCTCCAGGGGCAACTCCAGCCCTCAGCCAAGCTCTGCCCTGCCCGGGCAGGACCCGAACAGTGGGGTGATGGGGGCTTTGTCCCTCACTCGGGGTGTTTCTGGTGGTGCTGGGCTATCACGCCAGCCCTGGCTCTCACGCTGGGCACACGGGGACAACCCATGAGCTAAAGTCATTCCCAGAGCTTGCAGGTTGTAGCCTGAGCATGGAATGGGTTCTGCTACCTGACCGCTGGCCAGTTGTCCAGGGCCTGAGCATAAAGGATGTTCCACCCATGCCCTTTCAGGTAGTCTTTAGACTGAGGAGGATGTTCTACTTGGGAGGATTGTGCCCCTGCAATGTCTACATGCCAGCATCCCCCATGGTACAAGGGGGACAGTGCTGATGCTCCTTGAGGTCTTTTCTGAAGGAGCTGTCACAGGGTGCAGGGACCAGACAGGCTTGCTCTTTGTGATGCTTTCCAGACACCTGTAATGAGTCTGGCTCTGAGGAATTCAGTCTCCAAACTCTGCTCGCAGCGATTACACTGAAATGACCTCAGCATGAAGAGCAGCACTGTCATCCCCAGCACGTGGGGATGGGGTGACTAATGTAGTGCTGCGTCCTGAACAAACAACAGAGACAGCAGAGAGCAGAGAAATGAAAAGCAGCATTTGGAGGACTTCAGAGACTTCGATAAGAGCTTTCCAAATGGCAAGGCCTGATGTTAAATGCCAGCTGAGTATGTCACCCCTGGGGCTATGCCAGTGTGTGAGCTCCTGTGTTTGAGACTGCAGGAAGGGAGTTCTCTGTAGCCTTTCAGTAGGATTTAATGCATATTTTTGGACCATTGAGTTAATTTGACTTAATTCTTTGTTGTCTTTTGTTTGTTTCTGGTTTTTAATTAGTGTTACCTCGGAGGAATATAACCCTGCTGCCCCACTGACTGGCTGGCAATACTGGCTCCTCTACACTCCTGCCTACAGTGCCTCCTGTACCTTGGTGTAACCCAGGCAGGCTATACAGAATTTTCTGGGGCTCACCTAGTTGTTGCTTGTCTAAGAAAACGAGATGGATGGGAAGAAGTGCTACCAAGTTACAGAGAAAGTGGTTCCAGCAGGGTCCAAGTCTCTTCTTTAAAGAGAAGCTCCAGCATCCAGGAGGCTGAAAAGTAAACACTCCAATCAGTCACAATGGAAGGAGGCAGCAGTCCAAATCTGCAACTTCAGCAACTCCCATTGGCCACGGCAGCAGTTTCTGTGCAGCCACACACTGATTCCTTTTCATACAAGGTCAGGTTTCTCCCCTAGTCTATCCCTAGAAGGCCCCATGTAACTAACAGTGCCCCTGTATTTTGGTTATTTGTTTGCAGCAAGTGCACTGGGTTTGTATTTAGCCATGCCTGGAGGCCCCAGTGCATTACAGCAGTGAAAGAAAGAAAGAAAGAAAGAAACTCTGTCTCTTCTAAACCAAAGGGCAGTTGCTGAGCCAGTGAACTGTGCTGAGCTGCCCTGGCTACACCTGTGATCACAAAGGGACATTTTCCTGCCAACTTTACTGTTGTGGGAAGATCTCGCAGGTGGTTTTAAATCAAGCTGTTTGGATGAATCTTATTTTCATACACCCTGATAAAGAGATTTTTGTTCCACTGATAAGAACCTAAAGTCCCTGTCTTACTATGTGTGAGAAAATTGAGAGTAGTATATTTGCTGTTAAGGGAGTAATACAAATGTGAGCTCAGTTATCCCAAATCAATCAAAGTACTAGACTGTATCTTGGAGACCAGCACTGAAATGAAAAGTTCTAATGACATCTAATGAGATTTAGACAGTTGTTGGAGGAACATAAATGCTAAATGGCCTGGCTTAGCCTCAGGCTCTCCTGTTCCCTCCTAATGTACATTTCCTTTGTGACTCAGCCTGCTTTACATCTTTTTTTTATTTCAAATTCTGTCTTAAGACCGTGAGAATGACTGCTGAGCTGGGAATGCTCATGTAGGAGGGGTTGGGAGCTACTACCAGTTGCTTATTACTTTGGAATAGGTGGTTCATATGAAAGCCAGCATAAAATCTGTGGTAATTGGGTGGCCTCATGAAATAGGTTGAATTACCTGAACCAGCAGATGCTGTAAGCAGAGAAGAGCAGAACAGTTCTTAAAATGTGACCTGCAGAATGCAGAGGTTCCTGCTCCATACTCTGCTGAATTCCAGGGCAACAGTCATCCTCCTGAAAAGAGTTATTTCAAAGGGAATAATGAGTGAATGGATCACTGTGTTTAGCTTTATCTTCTTCCACTCTGAGAAACTGCACAGAATGCAAATACTTGAATGCTAATGAAATCTCTTGTAGCAAGTGTCTTGTCTCTTGTAGCTAGGACAGGGTGTTTCACAGGTTTGGAACACAGCCACAGGGAACTTACCTGAATTGCCCTGGATCACGTAGGAAGGGAGAAAGATAAACAGATAGTTTATTGACAGATGATCTAGGAACTGTTTTAAAAGTTTCTTCTCTTGCAGGTGTGCAAAAAGCTCCAACTTCCTTGGCTAAATTTAGCATCTGTGTGTTTTAACAGGAGAACCTGATTGGTGCATTACTGGCTATTTTTGGGCATCTTGTCATCAGTATTGCACTCAACCTCCAGGTGGGTATCATGAAGCAAATACTCATCCTGCATTAAAAAGCACCAAGCGCACCAAAGCCTCTCTGCCTTTCTTCTGTCCTCTAGAAATACAGCCACATCCGGCTGGCAGGTTCCAAAGACCCCCGAGCCTACTTCAAAACCAAGACGTGGTGGTGTGGACTGTTCCTGCTGGTGCTGGGAGAACTGGGAGTGTTTTCCTCTTACGCCTTTGCTCCTCTTTCACTGATTGTGCCACTCAGTGCAGTGTCTGTTATAGGTAAGGGGGAAGGAGGCAACAGCCGTACAAGTCTGAGTGTGTTCAGTGTGAGACTGCTGACGCATGAGTTATGGACTGATGCATAACTCACTGTTTCCCTCTCCTCTGTTTTATAGCAAGTGCAATCATAGGAATTATATTTATTAAAGAGAAATGGAAGCCCAAGGATTTCTTGAGTAAGTTCCACAGTTCCTTTTCATTTTTCCTCCCTGTTTACAAGCCATTCAACACACAGCATGGCCTTTCAGGAATCACAATTGGAGGGATGGCAAGATCTCCTTTAGTTCTAGTACCTCTTTGAAGATTTGCCTTGTCTGAGCCACTGTTTGTTAAAAAGGGATTTGTTTCTTTGGGGTCATTTATCAGATCTGTGCCAAATCCTCTGAATCTGTCAGTTTTAGAAATACCTGGAGCCATCCAGAGGAATGTGCATGATGGCATTAATAGTCACTGTGCATGTGTGATATTACTCCTATGCATCCACACTAACCCACTAATTTTGTCCTCTCTTTCTTTCTCTTTTTTGTCCTTTGGTTGCCAAAGGACGCTATGTTTTGTCCTTTGTAGGCTGTGGTTTGGCAATTGTTGGAACTTATCTGCTGATAACTTTTGGACCTAATAGTCATGAGAAGATGACAGGAGAAAATATCACTAGGCATTTAGTGAGCTGGCCATTTCTGTTGTATATGGTAAGATGGCCCATCAAAAGTGGGCCAGTTTTCTGCTATATGCCTGATGGGGAGCTTCATTTTGAGCATTATTTTTCTCTATGGTTACTACCAATATTCCTTGCACTTGCTAATGAACCTGTGTCAGTGTTCCCTGGTGTCGGTTCATGTCGCATGTGGACACATGCATGCATGGTTTGGAACTCTCCCATTCTTGCTCTGAATTATCTGTTAGGAATTGAATATCTTTATCTGTTTCAAGTCTCTTGCTCTCTCTTAGAGCTGTCAGCCTCAGCCTGTGGCAGCTGAGAGCAGCTGCTCCAGAGGTGTCCAGATGCTGGGCTTGCATCTGACTTTCTAGACTGAGCCATCAATCTCTCATTGGAAATCTTATGGAATGTATCATTTCTTAATGGAGATAAGTTTGGCCATTAAATAAGATATGTGCTCCAGGGCTCACTGAAAAGAATCTCATTACAGAAAGTAGGCTGAGATCTGTCATGCGAATATTCAGTCAGGACTATTTGATCTGCTGCTTTACCACAAATCTAACATCAAAAGTGTTCCATGTTTCCTGTTCTGTGAGAAGCTATTCAATGTCACCTCATTAGAAGCTGAGATCGTGCTAAATTTGATCTAGAATTGTGTGGGATCCTCATTTTCCTTTCATTTGCTCTACTGTATAATTCTGATGTTTGACTGGCTCAGAATCCCATTTACTGCCAACCCCATACACCCCACATGTTTAATATTCTCATTTTTGTCTTTTGCAGCTTGTGGAGATCATCATGTTCTGCCTGCTACTGTATTTTTACAAGGAGAAAAATGCAAACTACATTATAGTTATTCTCCTGCTGGTAGCTTTGCTGGGTAAGTTGATACGGACTTGTAAGATCTTCTAATTCTGGCTTATAACACTCAACTGCAGTAAACTAAGCATCTGTGGCATATAGGGGATTATACTGACCTCATTAATGTCATAAAATGCACCAATCTAGTCCAGAAAGGTTACTACGAATTGCATGAAGCTAACGCCTTGCAGTGATGTTTAGGATCTGTGCAGATGACCTTTGAACAAGTTAAGGCTTATTTCCCATAAGGGTGAATAATCTGCCAAATACGGAAACCAGTTATTTATTGGTGGTGTTAATTTTAACCTGTGCGTGCACATGGTACAGTATTTTACCTGCTTTTGTTCTGTAAGAAACTGTGATCAGTTAACTTTCAAAAAGGTGAATAACAGCAAGGCAGTGACACAGTGCAACAGGCTTTTGAATCTGTCACAGGCCTCAGTGTTTGCTATTTATATTGCCTCAGTTACTGCTATGTCTTTTCTGTTTTCTTTGTTTCTCTTTGAAATGCTTGGGGCTGGGTTTCAGTAGCTGGTGCCTCACATGCTCTGTGAATTGCAGCCACAGTAACTATCCTGACTTGGAATGCCCCTGGCTTGTGCTTTCAGAAATGGAAAGGAAGTTGGCTCTTTCTGATTCTTGTTTTGGAAACTTCCTTAGCTTTATTAACTGAGCCAATATGCCATCAGAAATGAAAACTTGGATTCTTCCCCCACAATAGTTGCACAACACTGTTAATGCTCCCAGCCCTGTAGACAAGGGAAGGTGCTACAGAAAGGCTGGGTGATTTACTGGACGTCCCTGTAGTAAAGTTGTTTGGCAGAGCTGGGGATAACCAGGCAGTCTGTGTCCCTTGTCCGACCTGGCCAAACAGGGGTTCAGGTCCTCGTAGGTCTGTTGTGCTGGTGGCTGCCTGCAGGTACAGCAGGACTGCAGCTTCAGCCCCACTGAGTGGGTGCTGCCACTTCACCCACCCTGGCAAACCTTCACAGGTTCCATGACTGCAGTGACAGTGAAGGCTGTGGCGGGCATGATCCTCGTCTCCATACAAGGAAACCTGCAACTCGACTACCCCATCTTCTACATCATGTTAGTGTGCATGATTGCAACAGCCATCTTCCAAGCAACGTAAGACATTCACTTTCTTTTTGTCTGTAATTGTGCTGCTTTCAGTGGACCAGTAACTAGTGGGCTGTTTGTTATCCGTTCCAAGAATGATGATTAAATGTTAGGAGAATTGTCCATTGTCTTATGTTATCTGTCCTCAAATCCATGTCAGAGGAGCCTGGGATAATGGTGTTCTTTGGTTTTCCACATAGTGACACTGCCAAGTAGCTTTATGCCCAAACTTACACATTATTCAAGTATTACGCAAAACAGTGTTAAGACTGAAATGGTGGCAGAGGGAATGCAGGATATGTGCAGTGGCTAAAGTTGAAGTGCAGAGTCTGTGGTGGTGATGATGTCTAGGTGGTTTTGGGAGTTTTTGTTCCTCTGTACTTGTAATAAGGCTAGTAGCAGCAGGGATAGAAAGCTATTCCACATGTGAGTGGCATTCTGGCCCTAAGGCCAGCGGCAGTAATTTCACTGCCTTTAATGAAACTTAGTGAATTTCACAGCCTTTAGCTGCCAGGTTTACTCTTCTATCATTTCTATAAACCTGCAGCAGCATCCCTTGGAATTTAGTGAGAAAGGGAATAAAGTTTCTCAAATTTATGCATCACTTTTGAAAGGTGTTTCCAAACAGGAAACCTGTCCTTAGGTCCCTGTTAACTGCTGTATCGTTTGAGTATCCTTCTCAAATCAAACTCTGTTCTTTCTCACTGTACTGCAGGTTTTTGGCACAAGCCTCACAGCTCTATGACTCCTCTCAGATTGCCAGTGTCGGCTACATCCTGTCCACAACGGCAGCGATCACAGCAGGTAACAGCACAAACAGTGGGGTGGCCTCTTTGAAAAGAAGGGCAAAAGCTTATGAGTAGAAGAGGATGATATATTAGAAGTGCACCTTCAATACACAGCTAAAATTTCTCCACATGTAACTGTATCCAGATTTTGTTAAAATGTGTGTGATGCAGATTCCCAATAATCTTTTCTGCATTGTACCTGAACACAGCTGCTCACAGCTTTGTAGGCCCTTTTCTGTCTGAACAGTTTGCTCTAATTTCAGTCATCGCCACCCAGTCAAAGCTTTGTCCAAACAGTGATGAGGTTTTAAACCCCTCAGGATTCAAACCTGGCAGCAGCCTTTGAAGGTTTTGTTCTCACTTAGACATTTGAGCAAAACTGGGGAAAACACCCAGCCATCCCAAAGCCTCAATGCTCAGCAGTGCATCTGCTCACAGTAATGGATGCTATCTGTGTAAGCAGTAAAGCTCTTCTAGGTACGTAAAGGCAATAGCTTCCCCCCATAAATTACACATTGCCTTTTACTGCTGTTCCTCAATGTCGCAGAGCCTGTGGCCTTCTCTTTGGCTAATGTTTGTTTCCTGTCACGTTCCAAGCCATACGCTGCTCCCAGATTGATCAGCTTATTTACTTCAGTTAGAAATGTAAAGAGCAGGAGCCAGGACACATGTCCTGTTGACATCCAGGACTGAGGACACCGGTCATTTTATTGGTTTGAGCCATGTATTATTTGGGGTCAAGAGTTTGTAACCTGCTGTAGTTAAAAGAGATCTGATGGGGTTTGTCATTCACACTTCAGAAATGGTCTCTCTCATTTATGTGGGGAGAATGTGGGTCAGGTTTTATTAGCACAGTGACGTGCAATAGTTCCAGCAGTGTTTCCTTCACAAAACTGTGCCCCGGTGTGGAAAGATTTGTACTGGTTGTTGTACAGATTTACTTGCATCTATATTAGTTACACCAGTGGAAGTATTTTCATTGTGAAGCTCTCAATGTTTGTCAACAGATTGTGTTTAAAGTAGAAATTGGGCCACTTTTTGCTATTTTAAGGTCATTAAAAATACAAAGGGGCTGACTACAGAAATAGGAATCTTGGTTTGGTTTTGGGAGGGACTAGTGCTGGAGGTGTAGCACTGATTGCTTGGATAAGGGGGGGAAGAAAGATGTAATGAATTTTTTCCTTTTAAAGGAGCAACCTTTTACTTGGACTTCACCGGTGAAGATGTTCTCCATATATGTATGTTTGCACTTGGGTAAGTGTTTAAAGTTTCCTTGATGGAAAACTGGAAGGTCAGTCTTCAGTGACCTGTGGCTAGACTTCTGGAGTTCTATTTCTTAGGGCTTGGACCCTCACACAGTGCAGATGTGATCAGTAAAATATCCAGTGTCCTGATGTGAGCAGGTTTCCATGATCAGAGATTATGGATATGGAAATTCTGAAATGTCTTTCAGATTAGTGCAGAAAAAGCAATTGGGAGATTAATGTTCTGAACTCTGTCAGCAAGCTGGAAAAATCAAGATTGACAGTTGTGTGTTTTCCTGTGGGAAACCTTTCAAAGGTCAGGCTGCTAAATCCTGGAATTTTCTCAAAGAAACCCAACCTCTGGCCTGCTTCCTTTCCCCTTTAGTTAGTCCAGGTTAATGAATGAATGCGTTTTGGTAAAGAAAAGTGAAATGTTTGATTGCTGGGTGATGCAACACTGCTGAAGAGGCTTATTCGCCTGAGACAGTTCCCAACTTCAGAGTTCTTTGGCTTCCAGGGCTTTATTCTTTATGGTGCTACATGAGAGGCACTTGGAAGACACAACATGCAGTATTACCTCCTCTCCCATTTCACAGTTATCTCACTAGATCTTGTTTTCTCTCTCAGGTGCCTCATAGCATTTCTAGGTGTCTTCCTGATCACAAGAAATAGGAAGAAATCTGTACCATTTGAACCGTACATCTCAATGGATGCAATGCCAGGTAACAGTAAAAATACAGTGGTTTATTGCTCTTATTTAAGTGTTGGGCTGCACAGGAACAGCTCAAGCTTTAAGCTCTATTAAGTATCCAGATGTATCAGGTGGCTGTGTTGTCTTCTAGCTTTTCCTTCTCATTTGTGTATGTAGAGGGGTATGTGCATGTTTGCATGGAGCAGAGAGAGGTGATGTGCCATCTGGATGCCACTTGTGCTGGATCCTCTGACACTAGGGGTTTATCAGATTGGCTGCTGTCTGGAAGCAGAACTAGATTTGAACATACTCTTGGGCCTGGCCTTGGTGTTCATCCAGCAGGAAGAACTGATTACTGGGGAAAGCTCAGAGATGTTGCATGAGGTAGAGACCAGCAGGAGCTGGTCTCTAAATTCAAAATTCCTTTTGGAAAGTACAACTAAACTTTTTCTGGTAAGCTGCATAAAAGATATTCAGCACTTGATAAATAACTGACTGCCATCCCTTGCTCACTGGAAGCATATTTCTCCATTAGCTGCCCTAGTGCTAAGCAGAAGAACATTATGTCTTTCATTTAACGCTCAAAGAACTGATGAGCTGAGGATCACAAACACTGAAACCTTCTAATTGGCTGATTTAACAGTGCAGTAACAATGCACTTTTGTCCCTAAGCATTTAATCTCTGTCTTTGCTCTTTTCAGGCATGCAGAACATGCACGATAAAGGGACTGCGGTTCAGCCTGACCTCAAAGCTTCTTTCTCCTACGGCGCCCTAGAGAACAATGACAACATGCCGGAAATTTATACTCCAGCCACGCTGCCAATTGTGCAGGAGCAGCACGGCCCCAAAGGAGCTTCTGCTCCACCCTACCGGGTGCTAGAGCACAGCAAAAAGGAGTGAGTGGCTTTTAAGGAACTGATTTGAATTGTCAGAAGTATGACCTTTATTTATTTACCTATGAAAATGTAAGCAAGTGTAAAGCCAACCTTGAAATGGTTTAAAGCTCCTCTCAGGCTTAACTTTCAAGGTTGATTATTAAAATAAAGAACTCTGTATAGCTATGAAGTTGAAAGCATTCCTCTTAGCAAGAAGTAAATCCTCCACTGAAGGTGCTGCCTGGAGTGGGGAGTGCAGTATCCCAGCAATATGGAACCGATGGGATAGCTGATGCTGTGAAAATGAGCAGTGGGAAGAGAAGTGACTAGGCAGTGATTAGTCCTGCTGGGAGCAGGGTGTCTCCAAATAGGTATTTCCAGGAGTTGCTTGGAGAGAGAGGAGGGCAGCATTTAATCTTCCATCTACAGAGGATGTAGTGGTTTCCAGAGAAATTGTAACTCCTCGTCTCTGGCATGACCACAGAACACCTTAACATGGCAATAAAATGTAATTGTGTTCAAGTGCTAATACTGCAACTTTCTGTGTCTTTAGAGCAGCACAATTGGTTAGAATTAGCAAGATGCTTTAGTCCTCCCCAACATGAGTCTCGGGCACCTCCTGCACAGCTGTTCTGTTTAGTGTCGAGCACATGTCCTGAGTATGTGAATTGTTTTATAGCACCACAGGCTTACATGGCAGCTTAGAACAGAGATCATTTGCCAGTTTTCTGTTTCATAGCAGAAACTTCAAGTTGGGTTAAATGGTGCAGAAGAAACACAGTGAATTATGAGAGCAAGAAGAAATGAGAAGATACATGGCTGGTATCTGATGGGAAACTTTTGTAGCTCTTGATGAGGTCCTGATTCCCTGTTAGTTTTACTTCCTTTCTGGTTGAGGCAGGACTTTCAGCTTTGTTCAGTGGCCTTAAATGCTTAAAGGTCTTGATATTCCTTAGTTAAAAAGCTCAGTACAGATGCTGCAGCTGGGGTGTCCCCTCTTTTTTTTCCCTTTTCTTTTAAAAAGTGGGGGGAACACACAAAAAAAAGGATACTAGTCTAATACTGCGAAGGAGCTAAGGAGAAGGAAACATGCACAGTCCAGCCAATGAATAATGGAGCATTGTGTACTCAGGATATTTATCTTTCCAGCTCCCAAGAGATGGCTTGAAGCTGATATGAAGGGAGAATAGACACAAGGAGGGGGGGGACTTGTCAAGTGAAAAGGACAAAGTACAACAACTACTGGCATATGCAGGTTCTACTGGTGCTTTGATGTCCTCGTCTTCATTAAATCTATTGTTTTGCTGGGAAACAGTTAAGTCCATTTGGTGTGACCTGGGCATAGTGAAGTGGCTCCAGGACTTGATTTGAAATGAACAGTGCTTGTGTTCAGTGCATTTTTAAGTGGTTACTCTGGTACCAGGGGGTTGGAAGGATCTTGGACTTGCAGCAGTGGCTTTCTGCATTTATGTATTTGAGTCATGGCCAGTCTGTGGTTTCCACTACTAAAAATTCCCAAGAACTCCACTGACTTTATATAGTTACTCCAGATTCTTGCTGTTGTATATGACAACAGAATTGCTCTTTTGTGTGTTTGCCTTGCAGCTCTGCAGTTCAGTCTCGAAATACTTGAGATTGCGTTAGCATTTTTGTGCAGCTTAGAAAAATTGCAGCCTTCACCCCCCTGCAAACAGCAGATGCCCCACTGCTGTCTGTGTACCTGTGTGGAGTTTCTTCACCAGCTTGGATGTCTGACAGTCCTGATGTTATCAATGGCATCCGTACACTATAGTTTATGAAACCTCAAGAAACAACAGCTTTTCTTTTCCCCTCAATATCTTTTGTGTTTAAGTATCATAACGATGTTAATGGGCTAATAGTGCCAGAGCATTCATCTTGTTGGAGTTGCAGTGACACTGATTTACTGCCTTTGGCTTTGTATCCCCAGAAATCAATCGTGAATTTATGTGCAGCTTTTGTTCATGAACAACATAAAACGTAGTACAGGGGAGGCTACATGGGAAGGGTACAAGAATGGTGCCTTTTCTTATCTCTTCCCTTTTAATCAATGAAGTAGTAGTTGTTCTGGTCTATTAGTTCTGAAACCACAGAAGAATGTTGTTTTAAAACAAGCTGTGCTAAACCACACATAGCTGCAAACTCTGCTTTTTACATGGCAATATTTTCTCTGTTGCATTATTACAGAGGTGGCTGTGCTATAAAATGATTAATCAGAACAGCCTAAATGTTTTGCTGTTGACTTCTATGGTTAAGATGATCCTGTGTGAAACAGGATGTTGGTTTTCCCAGCTCTTGGTTTCTCAGTAGGATTTAAAAAGTGCAGTTGACTGCTGTGCAGCCTCTGCAGCCTGGAAACTGCTGGTTAGGGTTTTCTCCTAATCTTAGGACCCAACATGGTAAGAGACAGACACAGGATGCTGTGCCAGGGGTGGAGAGCTGCTCTGATGCAGAGCCCCTGCTTGCATGGACAGGGCTCCTAGAAGCCTGTTTGAGCTTGACTGTAGGACTTCGTGGTCTACCAGTGGGAGGATGTAGCTCAGGGTTGAGAGAAACTCCATGCCTCCCTTCTAGTTCAGACATTACAGGCTGAAAACAGGAAGCTATTTGTACCCTCAGGTCTATACTTTTTAGAGAGTGTTCTGAGATGACAGCGGCCATACCTGGGACTGCAGCAAGCAGAACTAAACAGCACATGAAGATTTAAAGGAGAGGAGCCCCATGCCACATTCTAGTCCTTGCAGAGTGAAAAATGATCTGCTGGTGTAGAGCACACTGTAACATTCATGTAGTGTCAAAGCTTCAGTTTACCCAGGGCTGATCAACAGAGGCAGGGCACCGTCCCAGCAGAGCACTTCCATTTGCAAATGGGTGCTGATTTTCAGCATGGAGAGCTGCAAAAGCATGCATGGAAATCCACAGGCTGCTGTCTCCTTCTCTAACTTCGTGGAGTAACTCCTTGACTCTCCCTGTCTTGGCTGCTTTATTGAATGTGAACTGACATCCGTTGCCTCCACACTGTGTGCACCAGAGCACTTAATACATTCTCAGTGTATATCTTACATGTAACTTAATGCTGTGGAATACAGCTCCTGTGTTGGCTGAATGTACAAAATGATCTGCCTACAATGTTCTCTTGTTCAGATTAAAATGGGTAAAAAAGAAATAAAAAATCAAGCTGTTCAGTATTGCACTATAAGGAAAACTGCTTATTTTTTCACAAGCAGGGTTGCATGACTGTTTAATTCTATTTGTCTTTTAGGCAAGACCTTTGGAAATGAAACTTAATAAAACATTGTGGTAAAACCTGTACAATTCTGTCCTGTTCCATGTTCTTGATACAGCTTTAATGAACATAAATGTCTTGAGAGAAGACAGAATTTAGCTTACTACTTTAAATACTGTGTGGATTTAGAGAGCTGGGTTTTTTCCTAACATGATACCTGCAAGTGAAATGAGGATTGCTACAGTTCAGGTTTGGGGCTGCAGCATTACTAATGCACACAATTCTACATGAGTCTTCAAGTATTTGGTGTCAGCTTTAGGAATCATCCAATTTGCTTGCCTATCTTAGTTTTACAGGGCTTTAAAGATATCTAAGTGTTCATGATTTCAGAGGAGAGCTTGAAACTGTGATACGAGTATGGCCTAGAGGAGGGGGGGGGACAGAGGATTGGTCAGATCACAAAAGCATTGTATTATTGGTGGTGTGACTCATGATTTTGTGCATGCCTACCAGCTCAGTACCGAAACTGAGACAACAGGGAGGAAGGACCTCTAATACTGGGTGGGAATGCTGAGCTGCAGATGTCATCCTTCAGCTACAGGAGAGCATGTTGTGATTGCAGGAACAGACGGTTTAAGGGCATTTCTTAATGCCATTAAGAGACAGACACTCATAAATTTAGAATACTGGCAGTGTAGCTTAATTGAATGCTTGCAACCTAATTTAATGCTCACCATATGGGTTTTAGTCCAGGGGAATAAGCAGAAGATAACCCTCAGGATACTCTTAATTAAATGTATCCCTTGGGGTCCCAAACCACAAATGGAAAGAAAAAAAGAGCAGCCTTATCTGCTTTGGTGCTAAAGCTGCTCCTCAGAGAAATCCCTGGACACGAGAATTAAAACACTGACTAGTGCATGCCTGAGCCCCAGAGTCTTGGATAAATGTGGTAATACTTTGTTAACATACATTGCTTAAGGGTTGCTGTGTGGTGTCAGACAACTGAGTCAACTGCTAATATAAAGAGGTGGCAATCAAGCCAGATGTCGGGAGCATTACAATGAGGTGTCATTACAAAAGAGAGTGTACTTAACATGCCCCTGAAAAGGACACACATGTTGGCAATTTGTGGTATTAAAACAGAATATATTGCTGGCCAGGCAGGCAGAACATGGTATTGAATTAATAAAGCATGTGATTGCAGCAAGGAAAGGCTATTTGTGACTAATCAACTACTGCCTAAATTAGCACTGCATCTAAACTGCTGAATCCCTTGTCTGGACAAGTGAGGCTGACCTTACCTTTCCAGAAGTGAATTCTGTGGTGCTCTTAGAAGTTGTCTTAAAGGTCTGCACTGTGGACGAACTAACTACAAACCCGGTGAAGTGCTTGTCATTACTGTCTGCCTTTTTTCGGTACCTCAGCTTTAGAAGTTTCAGTATTGATGTCAAAAATCCTGCCTGTCTTCAGGCTTTCCAAGTGAGGACAAAGCTGCTAAGTATTTGTGTGGGTGAAATTCATGAGTTCTGCATGCTTTTTGTGGAAAATGGAATACAACCAAAAAAAAGAAAGTTTGTTTGTGTTGTCTTCAGATGTAAAATGTACATGAGCATTCATTTACCACACAGCTCAGACGCCCACTGTCTAGGATCATCGATAGATTAAGCCATGATTTACTGAGAGACACAAGCTCTCACTGTTCCATCCGAGCGCGTCCCCAGCCGGGGCCAACTGCAAAGCGAAGCCCATTCACCACGCACAGGCCTTTCGCAGCCCCAGTCCCCTGGTGGGAGGCCCCGCAGCGCGGCACCCGCGCTCCCCGGGTCAGTCCCGCGCCCTCCTCTCTGGCTTCAGCCTTTCCGGTCCCCCCCGGTCCTGCCGGGACGCTCCTGCCAGCTCCCAACGCGCGTTTCGAGGCTGTTAATCAGGGATATGACAAGGCCTCTGTCCTCCACATCGGGCTCTGCCCTCTCCGTCAGACGCCGTTCCCAGGGCAACCTGATCTCCCTAAGCGTGGGGAGCCGCTCCTCCGGGCCAAGCACGCAGCCCCCCGCCCCGCCGAGGCTCGGTCCGTGTGAACGCCGCTTCTCTCCCCGGAGCGACTGCGAGGCCATCGCTGAGGAGAGCCCCGCGGGGCGGATGGGCCTGAACCGGCCGCGGGTACGGACACGGCGACCGCTGCCCCCCGCGCGGGAAGGGACCGGCGCATGCGTGGAGCAGCCCGCTCCATCCGGGTCACCGACACCACACACGCACACCCCCCTCCCGCCTCGGCTCCCGCAGGCGCGTTCCCGACGCTCCCCTCTCGCAGCCGGTTCCCGCGCGCGCGGCCACCGGCGGGGAGTGCGCGCTCCCGCCGCCGCCCCCCGCCGGGATCCCGCCGAGGAGCACGGTGAGAGCCGCGTGCCCCCGCGCCCCGCCGCCGCCGCCGTCCTTTCTCCGGGGGGACCCGGCCCGGCCCGGCCCGGCCCCGGTTCGCTGAGTACCGCCCGGCGCCGCCTCCCGGGAGGGTCGGTGCGGGAGCGGCGAGGCCTGGCCGGGCCCGTCCCGCGGTGCCGCCGCTGCCCGTGTTCCGCTCGGTGGGGCAGGCGGAGGGCACACGGGTCCGCCCGCTCAAGGGACAGCCCCGGGGGGTCTTTGCCTCCATCGCCCGTGAGTCTCAGTGCGGGTCCGTGCCCGTCGCCTGCCCAGGGCCGCTCGCGGGTAGCCCCGTCCGCTGCGGGGTGGCAGCGCTGAGCCCCGGCACTTGGGCTCCTCAGGGCGGGTTT